CTGTGTGGTGGTGTTGCCTATTCTGTCAGATCAATTTTTAGACATAGGGCAGAGCCACAGTAAAATTCAGTAATGTAGAAAACCCACTAATGTTGAAGGCGCTGTGTGTGTTATATTCTCCAATGAAGCAAAGCTAGCAAATGTTTTAATAATGATAAATTCAAATGTACAAATAGGCAGAACAAACATCATCAACAAACTCTCGTGAAAGATTGGACCACACAAAGGAGTAAACAAGGTCTCTTTGGAAAGCCTCATTAGAAGTGTATTGGAGAAAGTACAAAGCTTCAAAAAGCTAACAGGTTAGGCTCCACTTGGGTCTTTTCGGATTGACATAGCCAAGGTTTCCAGTTCTTCAGATTTTGAGAAGATTCTGCAAAGTTCTTGCCTAATAACAAAAGTTAAATGAATAAAGTATGTTTATTCAGTAATTTTCATTGGATTTAGTCTTTTTTCTACTTACTTACTTTTTAACCTCAGATAAACTTAGCCTCAACTTGAATATTAATGTGTATAAAATCAGGAGTTTGATATAATAGTTTTTTCATATATGTATATTTTATATATAGGTAAGATATAGACAATATATAATAAGTATATATATATGCATATATATGCATAGAGGTAACATTTTAAGATAGAAAAAAGCTAAAACAATCTCATGTGCTATTAGCTTTACTAATATCACAGTTTCTGAAGATGGGGACCGATTAACCATATTTCTATAAAGGGAGAATGTAGTCTTCTGTGGCAAGGTAGAGAGAACAGCACTGAAATGTTTGGAAGTATTCTGTCCCATATAGAAGCCTCCCTAGTGAAGCCCCTCTAGCATGCATAAGATTATTTGCATTAGAACATCAAGTCAGAAATACCTGAGTTACATGAGACCTGGTTCACAAGAGAGGAGCTAGAGATTCAAGAAAAGTCAAGGACTCCTGTCCCTGTCTGGCCCCGAGGCTGGCAGAGAAGGGTCCGAGGACCCAGCTCCCCTGCTGGCATTAGAGCGCCCTTTATATTCTAGTGCTTCTTTTAGTGTTGACAGTGATCAAGCATTGAAACAGAATGTAAAAATTGGCATTTTTTACACCAATAAATATCCAAAGTGTAAAATACAGTTTTAAAATATTATGGTTAAAACAAGGAAATAAATTCAAGAAGTATTTTACCAAGTAAACTCTGTGGTGATAACCCAAGATGATGGCAAATGTACAAGTGCTTTCACTATAGGATCAACCCCGCAGGATTCAACACAACAACAATGTAGCAGCTATACAACTCTCACCAATTTAAGAGTGTACAGGTGTCACTTCGGGCAGAACAAGAGCAAAACCAGGAAGGTGACGATGGGGCTTGTGTACCAGGAAAACAGTACAGGATGCAGTCTAAGAGGTAGGGAAGAGTCTTGAGTTAGGACTGAGGGTGTTCATTACTGTAAGCCTGACTAGTTTTAACTGGAGTTACTGGAGCCAGAGATGTGGAATGGCATTGAAAAATTAAAGAATGAGAAAACAAATAGTGAAAAGGAAGCAGGATTAAAGAGAACAAATACTGGGCAGAGTTACCTAATATCATTGCTTGAGGACTGGTTTGAGGCTACTTCTCAGGAGCCTGGCATGCTAATAAGGGTGTTCCCTGCCACTCACATCATGGTTCCTTGGTTTAGAGACTGTTTCTTTTTATTTTTCTTTTTTTTTAATGGTTTATTTATTTTTGAGAGAGAGATAGAGACAGCGTGAGCAGGGGAGGGTCAGAGGGAGAAGGAGTCACAGAATCCGAAGACAGGCTCCAGGCTCTGAGCTAGCTGTCAGCACAGAGCCCGAAGTGGGGCTCGAACCCACGAAGCGCGAGACCATGACCCGAGCCGAAGTTGGACGCTTAAGCGACTGAGCCACCAAGGCGCTCCTAGAGACTGTTTCTTTTATTCTGCAGCTTTATTATTTTATTAATTAGTCCTTAGAATTCTTCCTCAACCTACCTACACTTGGAACTCTGTAACTAAAATATCAGTTAAACTAACAAACAAACTACAAACTACCCTGCGGTTTACAGTTTTTAAGGACAATTTTTTTCCCACAGCAATGGATATGTGTTATAAAAGTCACAATGACCATGTTTTTGCCTTTTTATTTAGTCTTGAAATGTCAATGAATATTTGCTGATTTGCTCTGGAGTTAGCTTTCTTGCTAACATAGCTAATAATACTCATGAAGGTAAAAACAAAGTCTTGAATTTATAAAATGTTATATGTAGCTTGCAAAAAAACATTGTCTTAACTTTTTCATAACATTAGCACTACTCTGCATTCATTCATGCACTCAACAACATATATTGAACACACTTTCTATGCAGCAAACAGTCTCCTATGAGGTCAGGATACAGCAGTGAACAAAAAAAAGATGAAGTTCTTGCCTTCCTGAAGTTTATGACATTGTAGTAGGGGACACAGCCATTATAAATCATCCCACTGATTGGGCATCTGGGTGGCTCTGTCAGTTAAGTGTCCGACTTTGGCTCAGATCATGATCTCGCAGTTCATGGGTTTGAGCCCCGTGTCAGGCTCTGTGCTGACAACTCAGAACCTGGAGCCTGCTTCAGATTCTGTGTCTCCCTCTCTCTCTCTGCCCCTCCCCTGCTTGTGCTCTGTCTCTCTCTGTCTCAAAAATAAATAAACATTAAAAAAATCATCCCACTGATAATCATGAATTAATATTTGTATTAATATAGTGATGAGTACATTATAGGAATGCATTAGTGTTATAAAAGAATAAAATATGGGGACTTATGTGGGCTACAGTGGATGAAAATAACTGGATATGGTCTGAGGAGCCCTATTCTAATGTGGAACCAAAAGAATGAGAGGGAGTCACCTAGAGAGAAAGAGAGAGAGAAGAGGGTGTGGGGAATTAGGGGAATAGGGTAGGAAGATCATTCCAATTAGAAGTAAAAGCACATTCAAAAGTAGTTCAGTGGGTGAGAGCATAGGGAGCATAGAGAGCATAGAAATTTGGAAAACTAAATGAAGATAGGCCTGCACAAAGACAGAGGAAGAGGAGGACAGGCATGGGTAGCAAGGGAGGAAGCAGGGAGGCGTAGAAGAGAATTTTATGCAGATTAATAAACCAAGTAAAGATGGATTTGAAAAAATCCCCACTCATTATTTATTTCCAATAACTACCATTAACATCCCTTCATTGGGTTTGGGGGTCCATCCTCTGCACTCAGTTCATGTTACTCAGATAGCACTGACTGTCCTGCTAGCTTGAGGATGGAATGGGGGCTTAGCCTACCTGATTCATCAGTGTCTCCCATTCCCTAGTCTTAATGATTGATTGAAAGTAGGAATGTGGCCTTCTGAAAGCCAAGATATTAGAGACTGCTAAACCCACTGCATTCAAGGCAGATGGTCTTTCCCCTTGGACTTGAATTTGAGACACACATACATGATTTGGCAAATGGAGGTGTGCCTCTGTGTGCATGAGTACACACTGAAATCTGCACAGCAGTTTACAGAACTTCCAGTGCTGTACTTTTCAGTACCATATCCTTTGAAATCACTAATGAAATTCAATTACATACAAAAGAAAGCAGAAGTAAGGAAAGAGGGAAGAAGAGTATCTGAGACATCACAGAGAGACAAATGAAAAGAGGAATCATTGAAAAAGGGAAGAAGATGTTCATTCACTATGCTACTCATTACATTCTAACGTACTGTCTGGTATGTTGTCTGTAAGTAAGCCTTACATCTTCAATATGATCATAGGCTTCTTGATGTGGGGATTATGTCATATGTCCCTCATACAACAGCAAGGAGCATGGCCCTAGACAAGCAGTAAGGGATCAATAGTTAATTAGACTTATTTTAAGTGTGAATGTGGTGGCACGTTGCAAGGTGGCATACAAACTCAAGTTGCCAATAAGAGATAACGATGTATTGAAGATATGCAAAACAGATCAAGACCACAATAGAGAGCCAGATTTCTTTGTTTCTCTCTGTCTCTGTCTCTTCCTGTTTCTCTTTGACTCTGTCCCTCTCTTTATGTAATTATATATTACATTTCTTTAAGATCTATCCATCTCGAAAGAGAGTAGTTACTAGGTATCTCATATATATATATATATATACATACATATGTGACACATATATATATATATGTGACATATAATTAGAGGCTGATAAAGAAACATTGTCACTTAGTGAATTTCAGTTTTGAAAAAAGGCCAAATGATTTCTCTTGAGTGCACTAAAAATAAAAAAAATTTAAAGATGAAAAGAGAGGAAAAAGAATGTTCTTAGTTTAACTGGAGAGAGAAAGAATAAAGCATGTCTTTTTAATCTCTGAAGAATAGAAGCCTTGCTGAATCCCTCTGCTCTTCCCATTTGCATCCAAGGAAGCAGACAAATTGAGAAACAGTCAACATTTGTGACTTGGATGTGAATGGTACTGTTTCATAGTGACCATTAAAGAAATATATGATCTTAGGATATTCCAAAATTGGTTCTTGTTATTCATACTATAAATTTCCAGAGATCCAAGCAAATTCCACTTGAAGATAAAAGATATTCAAAGTCTATCAGATACTTATTCTCTATTAACTTTGTGAAAAAAGCCTGGTTATTCACATATTAGTAAGAATAGTTTTAAGTCAAAGAGAAAACTAATATTAATTATTTTATATACAGAGTGAGAATTAATTTCACTTTACTGTTATACCTGTAGATAAGCCAACACATTTTCTAAGAATTGCTACTTTAAACATTTTTCAGATTTTTAAATGATTTAAGCAGGGCATTAGCTTTCAACACAGAAGTAGTTTTAAATTGTATCCTTTCTTCCTATTCCCTTGACATTCAGTCACATTTTTCACATGAAGCTTTCTTATAATTGAACTTCTCCACTTGTACAAATAATACATCATTGATGAAATGCAATTGTTTCCACAATAAGTGATTCTAGAACTTCTTAAGTAGTAAATAAAAGCTTATTTCTCCCACCAATATTCATAGATTGTTCATGAGACAGCAACTCCTTTGAAAAGACTGTGAGGACTTGAGAATAAATCCCCTGATGAGCAGAAAGATGCATATGACTGGATCCAAACTCTTCATGTGGTCTCACTTAATGTTTTCTCTAAGAAAGAGGAAATTATTAGAATTTTAATTAAGTGGCTTCTTTCTATCAGCTTTAAGGCTGAAAACAAATTCATCGTCACTGGCATATCTGGAACTCTCCATGTAGCAAAAAAAAAAATGGTTTTACAATAATTTACTAGCTAGAAGTAATTGCTCCTATTTTGTTCTTCTGTTTGAAATCTACCCTATCCTTCAGAATTCTTTCACTGACTCTCATGCACTACACACAGATACTTCTCGACCTACTAAATGTGACATTATCTCCAGGTGATTGTGTGGTTCGTTTAAAGATATCCTTATGAAGAATACTTTAAATTATTTTACAAGGAAAGACAGCTTTGAAGATATCTCAAAGTAGGAATTACTTGGGATGCCTGGGTGGCTCAGTCGGGTAAGCATCCAACTCTTGATTTTGGTGAGCTCATGAGCTCATGGTTCTTGGGATTGAGTACTGCATAGGGCTGTGTGCACAGAGCCTGCTTGAGAATCTCAGTCTCCTCTCTCTGCTTCTCCCCTGTGCTCTCTCTCTCTCTCAAAAATAAATAGGTAAACATTTAAAAAGTAGGAATTAATAACACAAGAAAACCTTTCTTTGAGATTAATATCAGTCATTTGGATAAAATTACATTAATATTTATACTTAGCAACTAATCAAATTATAGCACAACTCTCTACTCCATAGACAATATCATCTGCAGTTCAATACTTGAACTTGAGTTGGTAGCAATTTGCCAGCTTAGGAAGTTTCCTTCATTCTCATTTCAGGCTGCTGTCCATGTCTGAAATTAAAACCACTAGTATCGACTTCGCTGAGCACCTGCTATGTTTCAAGCTGTACCAGGTATACTCTCTATATTAAATTACTTGTTTTGTTTATGTTTTTATATTGGTTTACTTTACAATAGTTTTAGGTTGAAGAAAAATTGAACAGATAGTACAGCTTCTATACCTGAAATAAAATTTTCCTTATTATTAAAGTCTTATTAAATATGGTGAGCCCAAAATTGATACGTTATTATTAACTAAAGCCCAAGCTTGATTTAGTTTCCTTAGTTTTAATCTATTGTCTTCTTTTCCCCTCGTGATCCTCTCCAGCATACAATGTTACCTTTGGCCGTCATGTCTCCATAGGCTCCTCTTGAATGTGACATTTCTCCAAATTTCCTTCTATTTTGATGGCCTTTAGAGTTTTGAGGAGTACTGTTCAGATATAATGTAGGATGGCTCTGTATTGGGACTTGATGTTTTGCTTATAATTAGATTGGAGTTAGAGGTTTTTAAGAAGAACATCACGGAGGTCAAATGCTATTTTCATCACATCCTATCATGGGTACATATGATCAACATGATTCATGTATGTTGATATTGACCATGATCACCTGCTGAAGTAGTGTCCATCAGGTCTCTCCACTATAAAGTTACTTTCCACCCCTTTCCATATTGTAGGAAGGAAATCACTATGCTCAGCCCACACTTGAAGAGTGAGAAGTTATGTTTTCCCAAAGTTAGGGTAGGATATCTACATAATTTATTTGGAATTCCTCTGCACAGGAGATTAGTGTCTTTGCTCTTCTTAATTCATCCATTTATTTGTATCAACAAGGACTCACAGGTATTTATCTTACACTTTGGGATAGTATAATATAATTTTGCTTGTTTTGTTGCTTTGATTGTTCCAGGAATTACATAAGAGCACTGTTCTGTGGTAAAATTGTTTCCCATGGGGGTAGGGTCTATATGTGAATACTGGAATGGAATAATTAAGTAAATAGATGGCAGGACAGAGAGATAGGTTTCTCATTTTTGGAGTGGGAATTTGCAAGTAAGCACGAGGAGGAGGCTAGAATGACCTATGTGGTTATGGATTAGAGTTGCAGATATCGTAAGAAGGCATGGTTAACTTGCTATAGATAAAGATGGTTACATACAGAAATATTTATTGGTACTTACATATACATGGGCTAGTAGAGTCACATATATTTCTTTGCTCTGTCAGCTGAGGGAGCCTAAGAGAAATTACTCCCCTGTAATAACAAGCATACTGAGTGCCCAGATCTAGGGTTTTGTTTTGTTTTGTTTTTAAGGTTTATTTTTGAGAGAGACAGAGAGCAAGCAGGTTAGGGCAGAGAGAAGGGAGACACAGAATCCGAAGCAGGCTCCAGGCTCTGAGCTGACGGCACAGAACCTGATGTGGGGCTCAATTCACGAACCGTGCGATCTTGACCTGAACAGAAGTCAGACACTTAACCGACTGAGCCATGCAAGTGCCCTCCAGATCTAGGTTTTTAATACTGTTGTCCATTAAAACAAACCATGGTTTCTTGAGGAAATGGCAGATTTTAAAACTGTGACAGGAGTTATACAGAAAGAGGCTTGTAGTGCCAGAAATTAAGGAAAGCCCACACACACAGGTACACACAATGAAGAGGGTATGTCTCAACTTGAGAAAAGCCAGCTCTCTTAAGAGTCAGGCTTGTGGAAAGGCCCATTTTACCAACAACCACAAGAGTGGAGGTGAAGGCCCATTCATATCTTGAGATAATTGCAGCCCGACCTGACAAGTATCTTGAGCCAGACGCACCAGGTAAGACTATGCCCAGGTTCCTGACTCACAGAAACTGTGAGGTAATAAATATTTGTTGTTTTGGACTAATTTTTGAGTTGATTTGTAACTTAGTAATGTATAACTAATAGTGTTTTTTCTCCTCTGATATTCCCTGGAATGTTAAAATCCTTTCAGTTTACAGATTTAGGCTCTTAGTTCCCAGTTAGAAATATTTATTGCAATTATATCTTTATTATTGTTTTCTATAAAATTAAATTTTTCCCATAAGCATACCTATTTTATCTTTTATGTCGGTTATATTCTATGCCCTTACTTTTGCTTTCTCTTTAATTTGAAGGAGTCTCAAGTGTGTCTCTCATTTTATTCATTTTATTTTGCTTTTTAGAACCCAGATGTGTAGGCCTAAATTAATCCTATTTCTCATTTATAACACACTGATATTTTGTTAAGCCAAAGTAGTTGTTTTTATTCATCATTTTTTCTGTTTTTCCTCTATACATTCTCATCCATCTACTGTAGCTCCTCAATATCTACTCAAGCATTTATTTAGATTTATATGTATATTCTTATAAAATATAGTGTTGTTTCATTGAGTGCTAAAAATATTGAAGTGGGATTTTGATATAATTTTTATTCCATTTCTCCATTCCATATCATGTTTCTGAGAGGCATCATATCACTATATGTGAGAAGACTTTATTAACTCTAATTGCTGAAAATTATTCCATTATAGTCCCATGCGAGGGATATGAAATTCTATATTTTACTTATTTAGTCATCTAGATGCGCTTCAGGCCCATATTACCAAATCCACTGTTACCATACATACCACTATTTCTGGGGGATGTATACTAAGGTCAATTTAGCTAGGTTTAGGATGTAAATATGCTTACTTTCATCAAGTATCGCAGGTCCCTTTCCAAAATGTGCCAATTCATACTGCCACCACCAGATTATGAGGCCTCATGTACCCCAGATTTTCAATAGTTCTCCCAAATTTCCCTTTGTTTCTTCAAATCAGATGCATAAAAAGTGTGATCTCACTGGTTTCCCTCATCCTCTACCCATCCTATCTCTGGCTACTAGTAATGTTGTTTACTGCTTTATTTATAAGAAAATTATTTGGAGGTGCCTGAGTGGCTCAGCTGCTTAAGCACCTGACTCTTGGTTCCAACTCAGGTCATGATCCCAGGGTCGTGGCATCTAGCCCAGTATCCAGCTCCATGCTGAGTGTGGATCCTGCTTAAGATTCTCCTTCACTCCCCTTCTGCCCCTCTCCTCAGCTTGTGCTCTCTCTCTCTCTTTCTCTCTAAAAAAAATAATAAGAAATCTCTTTGGATTATGTTTATATACTTCAACCATGATGTGCTTGTTTGTTGTTGTTCATTTTGTTTTCAATCCAGCTTTTATCTATTTTCTTGTTTATATAACAAAGCTTGTTGCATTTTTATATTAATTCCTGTAAGTTTCAGGCATTGAAACAATCATTTCTTTTTCCCTGTTCTTTAAATCTATCCATAATCCAAGTTTTTCAACTGAATTCCTGTGTTTTGAGAAGGGGTAATAAATTTATCCCATTGGTTTGTGTTTTTTGATTAAAAAGTATTTTCAAGGGTGGCTGGGTGGCTCAGTCAGCTAAGCATCCGACTTCAGCTCAGGTCATGAACTCATCACTGGTGAATTCAAGCCCCGTGTTGGGCTCTCAGCTCTCCGCACAGAGCCTGTTTCACTTCCTTTCTCTGTCTCTGCCCCTCCCCAGCTTGTGCTTCCTCTGTCTCAAAAATAAATAAAAACATCAAAAATACTTCTTTATTATTTTCTTATTCCATGGTCAAAAATATATTTTCCTCTATTTATCTTGTTTATAGAAGTCTTTAATTCACTTGAAATCATTTTTTACATTGTGTAAGTATAAATCTTTGTTATTTTTTTATGGTGAGTCCGTTTTCTCAATATCATCTATTAAGTAATTCATATGTTTCTTCTTAATTTGTCATATAATACCTACCCATTCTTCTTTTTTCCCCATTCTTCTCTTTTTCATTAATTTTTCATTGAAGTATAATTACATACAGTATTATATTAGATTCAGGAGCATAAAATAGTGAATTAACAATAACATGCATCACAAAATGCTCCCCACAATAAATGTAATTACCATCTGTCACCACACAAAGTTATTACAATATTATTGACTATATTCCTTATGCTATACCTTTCACCTCTGTGACTTATTTTACAACTGGAAGTTTGTACCTCTTTATTCATTCCCCTTTCAATGGCGTATTTTCTTTCCAACACAGTTGTTTTTTACTATTGTTACTACTTTTTAACTTATTTTTATTATTTAACATTTTTTATATGTCTTGATATCCAATAGGACAAGTTATCTCTCTTTAAGGTTTTTAATTGCCTCATTTATTAATGAAACTTTGTTCTTCCATATAAATTTTGAAATTGGTTTATTAAATAATGCCAAGAGTCCTGCTGTGGCTTTTATTATAATTTACTTGAATTTATAGATTAATTAGGGTGAATTGACATCTATATTATGTTATGTTTTGCCATCCATTAACGTCATGTCTCTTTTCATTATTTAGTTCTTCTTTAATGTTCCTTAATAGCCTTCCAATATTCATCATAAAGGACATGTGCGTTTGTGGTTAGGTTAGTTTTTAGAGAATCCTATCATCTGTTATAATTTCTAGGTGGTCAGTTTTGTAGTTGATTTTGTATCTGACAACCGTACTGAAATCTCATATTTGTTTTATTAGTTCATTGATTCTCCTGGATTTTGTAAGCAAACATTCATATCATCTGCAAATAAGAACAACTTAGATTCTTTGTATCAACTGCCTAATATTTTATATCCCATTTTCATAACTAAATGTTTTTATTTTTATGGTTTGTTGTTTGCTGATATTTTTTCATATCTATTATAGTAAATCAGTAAACCTATCTTATATTCTTGGTCCATCTTTTCAATAGTTCTGCTTCAGATGATGTGTCTCCTGATTTGGGCTTGTGGAAAAAGACTTTTGTGGGCTAGAGCCACCTTTGTCCTAGAAAATGTTTGGAGGAAGTTGGAAGGCCACACCCTAGCCTCTGTTGCACACAGATGACAGAATTACAGTTAATCAGTCTCTTCACCCACCACCTCCCCTCACAGCCCCCAGATCCCCAAGGGGAAGCAATACTATGAGAGTGGTCTGTTTACCAGCCTTGACTGACTATAGGTGAGAGGGTGAAGGAGTGAATGCCCAAGAAACACAGTGATTTTGCCCAGCTTCTCACTCTGCTACATTTTTGGACTGCTCTGATCTAGACAGCAGCACAAGAAGCATGAGCCATTACTGTACATGACTTCAGGAGTGGAGCAGGAAATTATTGGCATAAGCAATGGTGGGTGAAGGAAAAGAGAAACAAAATCAGACTGCTTCTCTCCAGTTCATACTCTGGGAACGTTGTCATTCAGCCTCTGTTCAAGTCACAGCCACCCTCGAGAGGCTTCTGGGTTACATGAAGTTAAGAGGCATCTTGTACACCATAGCTCGTGTGAATAGTGTTCTCTGGAGGTGTGCATTGTGCAAACTTCATGGCTGTCTTCAGCAGCTCTAACCACTCTGTCCCGGCTCCATATGTGCTAGTTCAGAGGAGCTGTCAGACCCTCAGAGGTTTCTAATTTGCTGTTGTTGTTTCCTTGGGTGCATATTTCTCTTAGTAGTTTCTCCAGAGTTCAGAGAAGGAATCAGCAGCCTATGCCTTTTCACAGTCTTATCAGGCATCCCAAGTAATTGGGTTTCATATTTTTAGCATTTATTTGTTACTTTGAGAGAAAGAGAGAGAGAGAGAGCATGAGCATGTGTGCAAACCAGGGAGTGGCAGAGAGAGAGAGAATCCCAAGCAGGCTCTGTGGTGTTAGCACAGATCCCAATGTAAGGCTGGATTTCTCAAACCAAACCTGGAGATCACGACCTGAGCTGAAAGCTCAACTGACTGAGCCACCCCGGTGACCCACTGTGTCTCATTTTTAATTCCACTTTTTAACCTCTGTGTTTCTACCATTAGATCTCCTATGCTATAATAACTGAGTAGTCAGAGTGTTATCACTGTCTTCATTCTCATCTTAATGGAATGTGGCTAAAGTTTCTTCATTAAGTATGTTTGCTGTAAGTATTGGTGGCGTGACCTTGAGACATTAGCTTGCATTTCTTGTATTCTTCATGTATTGTGACATTTTAAAATCATAAATGTATTTAAAAATTACAAAACCTTACATTTTTTAAACTTTATAAATAGATTTTGAAGTTATAGAATACTTAGTATTTTACTATGCGTATAGTATTTTGTAGCAAATATAGTATTTTACACATATAGGATTTTTGTTCTGAATTCATTATAATGATGAATCACAGTTTTCTAATGTTGAACTGTTCTTTTCTTTCTGGGATAAGTACTGTTTTACCATGCCTTTTTTTTCCGACCTAATTCTAAGAATTCTAATTGTTATAATTGTATTCTGTTGCAACCCATAAAACAGGGATTACTTATTTCTCGACAATTTTTAACACTCACCTATAAAACCATGTTAGCCTGGTATGTTTTTTTCTTTATTGCAATATTCTCCTGGTGATTTTGTTTATTCATATTTCCATTCATTCTTATGTTACTTTTGGAATTTTATGCTTTGAGATACTTATTTTGGTAAGGTTTTTCAATTTTATTTGCATTTGTTTGGATATATTTTATTATTATAATTTATTTTTACATACTGATTTCATTCTTTGGTGCCTCAAATTAAGATACTTTTTTATTAAGATTTTTAAAGTTTACTTATTTTGAGAGAGAGAGGCAAAGAGAAAGGGAGAGAACCCAACACAGGGCTCAAAGCCACTAACCATGATATCATGACCTGAGCCAAAAGTTAAGAATTGGATGCTGAACCAAATGAGCCACCAAGGTGCCTCTTAAATTAAGATTTTAATACTGCATCTACATTTTAAATTTTACTCAAATATACATTTTTAATCTCTCACTTCTTCCTTTTCATGTCATCAATTGGTCTTTTCATCTTATGATAGCTTTGCACATCTGTTTCACTGAGTTTCCCTAAGTCCCATGGAGAGTTTAAAATAGTTTTCTGAAATTATATTTCTGGTTCCTGTGGTGAATAATTTTCAGAAATTGGGTTTTAATTGGAAATATTCATTTTCTTTCTGCTGCAGTGCAATTGTTGCTGCTGTTGTTATTCCCTCCCCTGGTTTACTCTTCTTTCTATAGGGGAATTTTCTTTTTAAATAAGGTCTGTGTGTTCTCTTCTACTTTTGATGAATTTCAATTGTTTGCTAGTTGTTTTTTTTTTATTTTACTGCATTTACATTTTTAACATAAAATAAATATTAGGCATTAAGATGTTTTGCATGTTCTTTTTCTTCAAAAGATAATTTAAAAAAAACTCAGATTCATTTGTAAACGTAGACAAGTGTACATATGATGAGGTACATGTTGAGAAACTACCTAAGTGATTCTCAGCCAGAGGAATAAGATGAGATAATACTTCAAGTATATATTTGGACTCAATTCCCACTATTCTCATTATTTGAACTTCAAAAAATATAATTTAGTGGATCTGCAGAGGCTAGATGACTTGAGATGGAAGGCTTGATTGGAATATAGCATTGCTAGAAGAAAGTGAGAAACACTATTCTAAAGTGCTATGTATCAGTTCACTAAAATAGTGACCTGACCAGGAACCAAATATGAATTATTCTTTGAGTTAATTTTCCTCTTTGTATACATTTTCTCTGAGATTCAAATTATATTAATATGTATTATCTGATCATGAATGTATCAGGTAATATGTTAGATACCACAGGTTATGCAAAGGTGAATTAATAAAAATCCTTACCTTCAAATTGCTCATAATACCCTGAGAGAAGTCAGACAAGCAGAATTTAAGAATATAAGCTCTTGATTTTTACTGCCTCAGTCTGAATCTTGACTCCAATCTTGACTTGTTGTGTGACTTTGGATAAGAAATTTAGCATCTCTGTGCTTAAGTGTCTACAACTGAAATGGGAATAATAATAATAATATTACTATAGCATTGTTATTATATTAATATGCTATACATTGCTATATTGATATATTATGTTCAATATAATATCTTAATTAAATAACATCTTATATTAATATAATGGTATTATTTCCATTTCAGGATTATTGCGAGAATCTAATGAGTAACTTAGAAGAAACACATAATAGAGTTCTTGGCACATACATAAGTATTATTTGTAAATATGATGTGATATTAGTTTTATTAAAATAAAATCAACAACAAAAAATAAAATTAGAATGAATACTACATAAGAAGTGCAAACAGCACCTTTCAGGTGAGTTTTATCCAGAAATTATACATTTTGGAACACTATTAGTTTGCAAGTGTGTCCAACATTTTAATATATATACATCCAATACCACTTTTTCCTTCAGTTTCTATACTGAAATATGTATATATTTGACTTTATAATATGGCTCCTCCTTCTAAAGTGGAAAGTTTAGATAAGCATTATTTACTCTGTCACTTAAGAAACCACCTCAGGGAAAAACCTATACTTTTCTTTTTTCTCCCTGAGATGTCTACTTGGAAAAAAAAAATGGCCATTTGTATTTATTTCTTGGTCGGATAAATATGCAATGATTTAGAAATAGCTACAGATTTTTCACAGCTAAGAAGACATTTGTTGATCTTATATGACTATTTTAAGCTTTTTTAATTTTTTTAAAGTTTCTTTAATTTTGAGAGAGAGAGAGACAGAAAGAGACAGAGTGTGAGCAGGGTAGGGGCAGAGACGGAGGGAGACACATAATCCCAAACAGGCTCCAGGCTCTGAGCCATCAGGACAGAGCCCGACATGGGACTTGAACTCATGAACCACGAGATTAACACCTGAGCTGAAGTCTGATGCTTAACTGACTGAGCTACCCGGTGCCCCTTTTAACAGTTTTATTTATATCAATGTCCTGCATGTACCTCCCTAAAGTACTTGAAATCTACCCTAATTAGTCTCAGCAAATAAAAACTACCTTGAGATATAGTAAAGAGCAAAACCTCGATTGTTATCTAATAGGTAGTATAGTAATTACCAGACAAAATTTTATTTATTTACATTCTGGAGAAACCAAACCAAAGAAAACCCAAAACAAAATCAAATGAAAAAACAACAACAATAACAGCAAGAACAACAAAAACCTCACAATGTTCTCTACTCCAAGCCGGCAACCCTATCTTCTATTGAATTGTTTGTTTTTACAAAGTTCACCAAGATTACAGTTGTGTAAAGATTTTCTCTAAGACAAAACTTCACGCCCCGCTCAGAGAACCTTCCTAACTTGTATCAAAACTCAGTTTATATTCCCACAGATGTCTAACAAGCTCTGTATATGGTCTTGGATTATAGACAGGGAAAAATCAATAGCCTGCTGTCTCAAAGGCACCAATATAGATTATGAATCACAGCCAGGAAGTTGTCAGTGATTTCAGCTGCCAACCGTGCTTCAGTAAAGATATTTGCTACCTCATATTCTTTTAATGTGAAGCTTTCATATATAAAATAGAACAGGTCACTTTTTTGACAAGAACATAAGAGAATTTTAAGTAGAGCAATGAGAGCACCAAACATAGCTGTGCTCTGGACTGATCAAATAAAAAATACACCTTCTCCACTTGCCTACATGCTGTGCGAAAGGCAAAGATCCACAGAAAGGTCTTGTCCTGCTGTCGGTTATTCGTATCCTCTTCCACCAGGCTGTATCTACATATACGTCCATATGTAGTGGTTTGGACTGACTAGATCAAGCCGAACTCAATCAGCTTTTATGACTTGAATGAAAATAATTCACTGGTCTACATGAAGGAAGGACAAAACAATAAAGAACCCTGGAGCTGAAATGGATTTCAGATTGTGAGGCCACCTCCTCTCATAGATAGATGAGGAGACTGAGGCTCAGAGAAAATGAAGGTCACTCAGGCACGTGCATCAACTTTACTTAGGGTATTTTTTACAAAGGCTGATGAATGTTCCTTGAAGGTAGACACAATATTCCTCTTCATAACATATTCTAAAAAATAAGTAAATAGATTCTAAAGAATGCTTTAAGTGTTTTGAGCTTAAGAATAAAAGGATTAAAGATTCTGTATATGTGCAATTAATATTGAAGTTATGACAAAAAATTTAAGCATTCCTCCTATATTTTAAGTGAATATGATAAAATAAAAGTGTGGGGAAAAATTAGTACCACAGTAATATGTACATGGAACCTGGAAGAGAGAGAAAGCTTGAGCTCTCTTGCTCACACATTTACTTTTATGAACTTCCGTTTTCTCGCTATAAAATGAAATGGTATGAACTTCCATTTCCTCACCATAAAATGAGTATGATAGTACTTATATGCACTGTTAAAGGGATTAGGGTTAACATATGTGAATTATGTAGTACAATTCTTGGTATTTGGCAGGGAGTAAACACCGGATGCTACTTTTATTATTTTGTTTCAGAAAAAAGCAAAATATATATAAATGGTTTTTTAAAAAGAGCCCCGCAAAAATAGAGAAAGTCAGAGATCTAAACAACCTTAGCTTTATAATAAAAATTACTTAGAAGGTGGAAGATAATAAAAGTTCATTCTCCTGATAACTTACGGAAGGATTATGAAAGAGATTGTCGTTTCCCTGTTTTGTTTTGTTTTGTTTTGTTTTGTTTTGTTTTGTTTTAAAGGAAGGAGGGTTGATTCTGTAAATCACAGATAGGGCAGTTTCCCTTTAAATGACTGAAGACAACAGAGTAATTAGCATGCTATCTAGTGAACACCTAGAAAAGTCTGGGATACACTACATATTTTTTAAAGAACATATCTCACAGACAGGTTATATAGGCAAAGGGGTATAAAAGAAGTGAAAGAGATTGATATTAGGAAGGCTTTCCATTCAACCCTGCCCCCAATCCCTGACTGTGACATTCTAATTACCCAGCCCACCTCTGGAGTATTTTCCATTGTGTTCTTAGATAGTTCATCTACATAGTTTGAAGGCTGAGTGCAAAGGTAACCGCTTAGAATCACTTTGGGCCAGCATGGATGCTAGTTTAAGAATGTCCTCCACATCAAATGTCTTAAGAGTTGTCTTACTTAGTATTTCAACTAATGGAAAAAACAAGAATTCTGCAATTATGATTATATATATAATATATATATAAAATCATATATATATATCAGGATGGAATAGGAGAAAAAAAGGTACAAACCCCAGAACAAATGAAGGTTTGGAAGGGACTGATTGGTTACAAAGGTTAATGCACTTCAGATACATTAAAAGACAAATCTTATAAAATGGACATGATAAAAATAGTCTTTTAACTGTGTGTTTTCTTATGTTCAATGCACTAAAGACATACAAACAATGTTAGAAATTATTTACAGAAGAGAAGCAGAGGTGTTTCAAAAGGGAAAATTGACTCAATGAAAATTAAACAAATTGTGGTCTTTTAAACTAAATGAGAGAATAAGGGATTTGTTTTTTGTTTGATTTGGTTTGGTTTGGTCTTCAGTATGAGTATGGATTCTGGAGTGTTACATTGGTATTCCAGTAGACAGTCAAACATAATGTAGGCTCAGTGTAGGCAAAACGATCTACTAGCTACACAGTCACAACTGCACCCCTGAAACTTTGTGACTCTCTGTGTTCCATTACTGCTTAGGGGTAAATGAAATGGAAATCTAGAAAATCTCCTATGCTGTCCATGGGCTGCACACACACCTTCTTCAATGAGGTCTGATATCCAGCTGCAAGATGCTCTTTCCCCTTCCAAATCAACCCTTTCTTGTGTCCTCTCTTTCTGCCCTTGGGACTCTTTGAGTTCTCATTACATTTTTATAGTTACTACTTTATCATAATTTTTCATTATATAAACTTTCCTTATTCCAATTACCTGTGTGTTTCAGCCCTTAATTGTGTCCATACTTTTAATTTTTATCTTTTAATTTTCTTTTTTCAATGTTTTTATTTATTTTTAAGAGACAGAGAGAGAACAGAGGAGGGGCAGAGAGAGGGAGATAGAGGATCAGAAGCTGGCTTTGTGCTGACAGCACAGATGCAGGGCTCGAACTCACGAACTATAAGATCATGACCTGAGCCAAAGTCAGATGCTTAACCAACTGAGACACCCAGGCACTCCTTATCTTTTAATTTTTATTCTTTATGAATCCTTATTTTGAAAATATTTTCTTGTACATTGTATATTGTTGGCTTGGTTTATTTTTACATCTTTCAGTTGAAGAATTTTGTTCGCTTAAATCCATTGTTATTACTGCTATGCTTAGATTCATTTTCATCAGCTTACTTTCTGCTTTCTGTTTTGCCTTCTCTCTCCTTTCTCATTCTTTTTCATTTCTTTGCTGGTTGGAAATGTACATGCTCTGGTCTTCTTAAAAATTTTTGTATGCATGTTTAAATTAATATAGTCTCATCAATATTTTTACGGTCTTCTTGGAAAGTGGTTTTGCTGTTATTACCCACTGCCTTTTGACTCATTTGCTCGGTTATCAAAATTCTTTGTTCTGTTTTAATTTTTTAAGCTCACAAATTCAGTATCACTGTTACTGTTTAATTAGCTATATTTGGGGTTATTGGAAAGTTTACAATTTACTTTTCTCACCATTTCTTGTAACATTTCATAGATTTCCTTCCCTCATCTTCCCTCCCATCCCCACTTTCCCCCCTGAAGTATAGCTCTTGGATTTTCAGACAGTGAAGGTCGTATTGGTAGTAACCTCATTCAGGAGTTTTTTTTTTTTTTTTCCCTCTTCTAATGACTTTATTTTCTTTCCTCAAATAGTAATTTTGAAATATAAAGTACTGTATCTACTGCTATATTTTGAAGATTTTCAAAGCATTTTACTTATGCTTTGTATATACTATTTATTTGAGAATCATATTTGTTTTCATTTTGCTTCCTTATTGCCTTTGGGAAGTTAGTTATTACTCTAATTATCATTCATTTGTAGGA